TCTAATCGATGAAATCAATAAGGGCCATTTCTCAATGCCATGTAAAAATTTGTCATTGAGTTTAAATATTTTTTTCCCAAACAATTTAGTTTCTCAATATCAATTTAGGGGTTTTACTTCTTGTCGAACGAATTTGTCTTTATTAACAATTTATCTATTTGTTAATTTTCTCTGGCAGAAAACAAACTAGAACTTTAACAGGACAGAACTTATAATTTAAATTTATTGGAAGAAGCCAATAATTACTAGAAATATTTATTATTCAAGGAAAGAATACAAATGTTTTCAAAAGTATTTAACATTTTTACAAATTTTATTCAACTTTGTGGATTTTTTTCTCGGTGACAGCCATGAAGGCATCTTTTGGGCTCGTTAAGTCTGTGGCTCTCGATAAATTTGGCCGTAATCTCGATAATGATTATGTTTGCATTGTTGTTCGTTCCCGCTTGTTTCCCTCTTTTGTTTTAAAAGATTTTGTTTCGGGGCTCTCCGGCACGCATGTAATCGGAGCTTATGTGATAATGAAGTTGTTGTCTACTGGTGTAAAATTACCTTGGCGATATCCCGAAGTTCTGCTTTTGGGCCCGAATTTTGCTTTATGCTCCCTGCCACAGCTCGTATATCAGCATAATGAAGTTCGACATTAATGGCGCAAACGCAACAGGTTATTTACTGTTAGCTGATTTGTTTAAAGCGTCGAATCTGCTCTTTTGTATTTAAATGCGCGTCTTAGTCGCAAAACGTGTTTTTGTCTCGCGCCGATTGGAGTGGAGTGGAGTTGAGTTGACACCTCTCTATGCATATTTACCGCCTGTCCGTTGTCAAGTGAGGTGTCATAAGCGAAATTTATATCGCTCCCATTTAAGGGGATATACCAAAAGTCAGGACTTGAAGACAAATCGTGATGTTTTCACAATTTATTTCGTTTAATCTTTTTCTCCTTTTCATTTTTGATACTTTATGTTTTGGTCCCTAAGAAATCGGATTATAATAAAAATCCTGTGTGAATAAACCAAAGAAAAATCAATTTTCCAGTTATAAAATACATATCCCTTCAGAATCAAGGAGGCAAATAGCCGCCTGTCAACAGTCAATCGAATGGCCAAGTGGAAACGGAAACTTGTGGGAGCAGCCACACATCAACGCACCCGGCTAAATAAGCTGTTTGCACCCAGCGCAGGCATGAATGCAAAATTAGTCAAGCGCGCCAACTGCATTTACCGTGAAGGTGAGCGAGTGAGTGATACATGCAAACTCAGGCACAAACACAAACTCGAACTCAAACTCAAGCTCCGTCGCTAGCCCAGGCAATTCAATTTCAATATGTGGCAAATTATAACAATTGCCCAGATCCGAGATCCAGCGAAGGAACTCCACTCTCACACGCACCTCGGCAGCTGTGGTCGATTGCTGAACTGAATCGGTTGAGGTGTCCGGGCTCCAGAGCCAAGATACACTGGCCAACAAACCAAGGATCAAGGTTTTAGTTTTTGTTATTAATTGAATTTATACACCATTTCTTTAAAGCTTAATCATCAAATAAGAAAGATACATCCATCGGAAGATTTACATGTTCTAATGCTAATTGTTTCTCTCTTCATAACTTAATAGTAATCTAACATTTATGTGATTTTTAACAAAGCTACAGATATTTTCGAGCCTTTCGTTCATAATATATTCATTTTTTTGCCCAGTGTAATTCGTGTGCAGCACCAAAGTTATTACGCATACCAAAGGTAATAAGCTCGAGTCATGGAAATTGTTATCGCTTTTCTTGCCTTCTTTGCTGTTGGTGCACAAAAATGGCTGCAAATTGTTGAAAATTGCCCTGACTCGGTCGGAAGATGAGGACAAACCGCAATCCGGTGGGCATATAATATATATTCATATGCCTTTGGCCGGGTATTCCATAGTGACATGCCTTTGGTGAGATGAATCGCACACAGTTATGGTTATATGGTTATGTGCCGCCTGTTGCATGTGGTCGGGGCAATTTAGTATCTTAACACGTTACAAATAAATGTCATTATTAAGATGGGATGACATACCACAACCTCGACTCTTAATGGCAGACAACGTGTGTGAATGAGTGTGCGACAGAGCAAGAGGAAGCTTTGCTATACGTATAGTATACAGATGATATAGAGGAAGTTGCCGAGCAAGAGAAAGGAGCGGAAGCTGCTGCTATATGCATCGTTTGCTGTTAATTAGCATGCTTGGGCCATAAGGGAGAAATTAAACACAAACGGCAAGCAATTTGTATATCAACACATTACAGAATGATTTGTTGTTGCTCCCAATGTGCCCTGCAATGACCCCCAGACCCCTGGGAGATTCCTATTCCGATTCCAACCGGAATTGGCTGGCCATTGTAACAATTACAAATGTGCCCATTGACGGATTTAAACGCACGCACTCGCAGTGGCTTCAACGATTTGTTTGTGCAGCTCCCAGAAACTCTTTTTCAAACAAACGACACACACAAGTGAGTTCGAATACACGGCGAAAATAATCTATTAAGTTCCATTTACATATATAGATTAAGAAATATTTCTTAAATAGCTGTGATTCTTAAGTTCCTTTTATAGTTAAAAATATTCCCAATAACAAAGATAAAGTATACTGGACTCCTAATTACATTCTTAATTTCCTGAAGAGTTTTTTTATCCGTGTGTCTGCTTACATATCGTGTTGTGTTTACTTAAACTGTCTGCTCATTTTTGTTGCGTTGGCGTGTAGTTTAATTTTGCATTGCAGTTTTATATGAATTTATGGCAACGACTTGATAAACAATTTACACTGCTTTATTTCGTCTCACAACTAAACCTCGTTCCATTTTTCCCCAACGAAAGCGCGGAATTTAATTCTTTTGGCCGTCGTATTGGTCGTGTTTTGGGTTTTTGTTATCGAACTTTTCCCTTTTGTCCATCAAAAACCATTAAAACAAAGCATGAACCATCTGTGTGATAAATTAGTTTTTGTGGTTTTCTGGTTTCAGTCGGGTTTTCGACCTATAACTAATGATGTTGATGAGTCTCGGGGATTGCTGGAATTCAGTATCGTGGTTTAATTTATGCGTTAGCCAGAGATTTTTTGGTTCTTGGGCTGCCAGTCTACAAAGTTTTGATTGGCAAACGTTAAAGGATCTTATAAAAAAGAGCAACCCAGCCAATAAATATTTAAAACAGCCTTAATTTATGGTTCGACAAAAGTTAATTAAAAAATCAGCCAAGGAGCTTTTTGCCTGGGCCACAAATCATCCAGAGTGTCACTTAAATTATGGAGAACAGAGACCAGCTCTCAAGGGAAAATCAAATACCAAACAACAGAAAACAAAAAATAAACAAGCTCCTGACAAATTAGTATGCACAACAGGTTAAAAATTGACAAACGCCAGTCGAAGGCAGCTGCAAAGACCAGAAAAAAAGCAACAGGAAAAATGCCAAATATAGAGGGTATAAAATAATAAAAGCCATAAATAAACTTTAAATTGGATTTTTTTTTCCACTAGATAGGAAACGAGGTACGACGTACAAGAGCGAAATAAATTAGCAGTCCGTCGAGCGGGGACTGTTGGACTATGAAGAAGAAGGATCTGCCAACGAGCTGCGAATTAATGTTTCCTCCCAGCAATATTAGATAACGAAACCCGAGACTCGAACATATGGAGAGGAGATCTTTCGCCCGAAAACCGAAACTCGGGAGCCAATGAAACGTAAACAAGAACGGCAGTCAGAACAATTACACGAAAACAAAGAGCAGTCAAAAGGCCAAAACAAGCCAAAAAAAAAAAAAAAAAAGAAGAAAAACAAAAAGAGGAAAAACATTTCTGGCCAGGTTTGTTGATTGTACGGATATGTGGTGGAAGGCATGCTGGGCCTGGCCTCTAAATGACCGGCTTCGAAACGAGTCACAAGTGGCGATGGGGGATGGGAGAATGGGGCCCCAAAAGGGTCTGGGCCATGATTTGGGCCTGGGTCTGAGCCCGGTCTCGTCTCTTAACGATGTGCATGTTTATGCGCTGCTCTGCTGCGTTGCAGGCAACGCACGAACGCCCAGACATTTAAAGCAGTGGAGGCAGCAACAACACGGCCAGCAGAACCGAGCCACCAACAACTCCGGCAGGAAGGTAGACAACAGCAGCGGTAGCGGGACAGGGAGCGGGGGAAGGGCCAGGTTAGGGAGCTTGTTAGCAAGGGAGACATGGCCAAGATGCTGGCTAGCGGTGGGCAACCTCAGCGAGTCGCAAACTATCGGTTATTAAGATTCCAGAAAAGGGTTTTCAGTAAACTTTTTAATTTTAAGACAATACTGCGAACCGATACTACTACATGTATTTATTAAATTGAACAACATTTAATAATTGTACAAATTCCTGCCTTATAAAAAAAAAACTCGTTATAAAGAAATAGTTTGGCGAAACAACAAAATGCATTTTGGATTCAAAATGCATTTAGTTTCGTCAGTAGAAGCTCAAGATTTCTTTGTACCTATATATCCTTCGATTGACAATCATGTTATGATAGTCACCAAAGGATTGCTGATAAAAGGCAATAGGATCTCCCTCCAAAAAACCTTAAATTCAATTTTAAAGTTCATACAACCAATAAAGCATAACCAAACTCTTGATTACTCACTTGGAATTTTTGAATAAAAGTTACTTTTTGGAATCTGTGACTTCAGTTGTCACTGCAATCGTGGAAATAGATTTATCGCCCATCTCTAAATGCTCCAGGAGTCGAGTCCCCTTGTTTTTATTTCGGTTTCTCGTTCAGTTCGTTAGTTGGCCAAAGCCAACGGCTATGTTAAGTGGCCCATACTACACAGATACACACGCAGACGGACGCACAGGAAAACAGGGTTGCCTGCGCGCCTGTAGATATGCAAATTGGTATAGAAATTTAATTACTTGCTGACATGTTTTGGGCCTTTAAATTGGCAACTTGTTGGCTAAATTATAGTCGTATAATTTTATCAGCACTTACTGCACAAGCAAGCAGCTGTTGAGTATCTCAGGTTTTTCGAAATGGCTTTTCTAAAACTGACACTATTGAAGAAAAACAAGTCTATAAATGTTCCCATTATGGTTTTAGACAAATTCTTTTGTCGTTTCTCGATAAGCACCGGAGTGCTTGTGATAGGAACTTCCTACGTGATAATTGATTTACTCCGGCTGTTTTATCACCTGATAATCTTCTTTTTTCCAGGACCACTTTGTAAATGAGTATTTCAATTATTTTATATTTTATTTATTTTTACTATTTACCCTTTAGTAAGGCAGTGGTATTCTGCTGGCAATCAAAAGGGGGATACTGTTCATGGTCTAATCACCGATACTATGATGAAAAATCGCATACAGGCGATGTCGGTTCTTGTTCTAGACCTATTGACAGATATTGGACTGCTAATGAGCGTGAATGTGAGTAGGTGATTAAACAAAATAATATTCTAATCCCAATCATTAGTCCGGTCTAATTTCAGTAACGATTTGGTTGGTGAAATCGATTTTTATGGCGGTTGTCTACTTGGTCGTTATTCTTGCCCTAGTCTTTGCCTATGATCGCACATGGTTGGCATTGACTTTTATGGCAATATTAGGTAAAATATTAGACTTTATCTAATTGATTTCAAAGTAATATCTTTTCCCCAAGCCATAGAATTGTATTTCTTGGTGATTGTGGCCATGCATTTTGTGCAACTGCGTCGATCAAGCGACTTAAACGATGAAAACCCCAATGAAACGGCCGTCTAAATTCTAAAAGATTTGATGAGCTATTAAAGAATCGCTCACAAAATCAACACTCTCGTAAAATTAATTATTTGCCATGTGGACAACTCGTTTAAACTTCAAACCAGAAAAGTGAAGTGCGAAATGGAAAGGGAATCGAGATGAGGAACCAGCTGGGAATGCCTTTAGCCTATCGATGTTTCCCTTTTGCAATTAACATTTGTGGAACACACGTAATTACAAGATTACGATAAGTGATAAGCGGGCAGGGCAGGCCAAAACAGAAGGATGAAGATGATGGTCGAAAGCAGTTGGACGGGTCGCGTTGCTTTTGTTGTTGTATTTTGTGGCAGTTGAAAATTGGCATATATGCAAACCGCGCTGTATATGGCAGCCAATTTGGTGGTCATGCCAAAACCGATTACGCATATGCACAGAGAATTAAATTTTATAAAGGTACAAGGTGTACGACTTTTATTTATAAAATGTGGAAAGTAGAAATGACATGAAAAAACAAGGGATTTCACCAATTTTTGATTCAAAAAATATTTATAATAACTAGAGTAGTGTCCAACTTTGATTAATTAAGAATCATTTTAATTTTCCAAAAAATTATCTTTACCAAAAGTAAAATTTGAACATTTAATGGTTTCTAAACATAGTCTTTTTTAATCATAAACTCCCATTTTATTACATTCTTTAAATCGCCATTATTTCATTTTTCAGTGCAATCACACAAACAAGGCGCATACATTTCCACCCATCACAGAGGTCAGTGCCAGGCCAAACCGCCCACACAAATCTGTGGCGAGAGAAGGGCGACGCGTTGATGAGGATGATGCGTTGATGATGATGATGCTGCTGCATTGCAAGCTGCAACCAATCTGCTGGCCAACACAGATGCATTACACAAACGCACACAGACCACACCACAACATTATTGTTTAAATTGCAAAGTGATACATTTGTGCCGCCGGACCGAGAGTTTGCCTTTGGTTTTAGCAGTTTGCATACGGAATGCAGATGGGTCCCAGGATGATTGGGTTAGTTAAAGCCCAATTGTGTTTGCCATGCGTTCGGGCGTTTTGTTGTTCAGGTTTTCAGCAAAATTTAAATTTAAGAAAATTTGGCTTGAATTGCAAGTCATTTTTATAGGAGTGTATGTCAATCGATTAATTTCATATGAATTAGTAAAAGCTTACGATGGATTGGAAAAATATGAAGATGAATTCGTCTACAGCTCCTAATTGCCATTAATAAGAACGGTTTATTAGGCGCTTTGTTTAAATTTTTGTAGGAAAGTTAGTCCAGAGATTAGTAAGCAATTAGGAGAATCCTAAGGATTATATAAATTAATAGCAGTTTGGCCGATGGCAAAAGTAAAGTGAGTTTATTGTCTAAGAAGTGTATGCAATACATATCCTTATTTTATGTAAAGCTGGCAAATTAAGCTTCAATTACTTCTAGTAAGCTGAGTATTCATGCATTTTTAATTGGATAATTTGCAAATAGTAGCGCATAATAGTCTCTTGATAAAACCCGAGAGGAAAGACAAAGTGTCGCAAGTGTTGACAAGCGTTCTAAGCCAATGTCAGTGCTGATGGAAAGTGGGACTGGTGCACACATAAATGAAATCAAAATCAATGTCAACAACAGTGAAATGTCGAGTGTCCCGCGGGGATGCAAAGGATGGCAGGATGGCAGCAGGATGCTGTCGGTGGGCGGTGGATGTGGCGTCAAAGGCGCCGTCGCCTTTGAAGTACTCCCATTACTACTAAACTGGCGTACTACGGCGTAGTAAATAGAAGCTAAAGCAAATAGCGTCGAGCTCTGACGCAAAACGACGAAAAAAAGGGGGGGAATCCCCCACACGGAATGACAGCGGCAAAAACGTTAGTAGCTGCAAAAAAGAACAAGGTTTAAAGAAGTGGGCGGTATGGGAGTGAGGATTTTCCAAGGAGAGTGGGTGAGAGGAGCAAATCAACGCAGGCAAAAAACACTTTGTGCGCGCGTCAAAGTGTTAAAGAAAGTAAGCGCCCATCCACCCACCCAACGCCCCACACCACCCACACATAACGAAAGAGAGTCGGGAAAAGATGGAGATGGTTTGTCCCGGAGCTTTGTGTACATATTTGATGCGCTTTTTTTTTCCACCCGGCTCGACAAATTTAAGTTTCGGGGAGCCGGCACTTGCTTTGTGGGCGCCCCAATGCATGCTGGAGTATTCGCAACTCCGGACTCCGTAACTCCGGAATACGGAATGCGGATTGCAACTGAAGGAGAGAGGGACAAAAAGCGGAGGCTTATCTTTCAGCCAAACACTCGAGCGTCCACTTTTTGGGGCTTAACGATGTTTGGACGGCCTTTGTCCATTTGCTATTTCCATATTGACTTGACCCGTAGAGGTTTGGCCTCCCCTCCCTCCTGCAGTTTCTGCCCTTTGTACCTTATTATAAGCCACACTGAGGAAAAAGCTTTTAAAAGTTATGCAAACTGTTACATTATAAATTATAAAAAACTCTTAGAATAACAAAAATTCGAAAACCTTATTTTCATTCTTAGTAAGGCTCAGATGACACATTCAATTTTTAACGTCAATTTATTATAGCAATTTTTCTTTAATGGGACTTTAAACGAGCGAGAGAAAGAATCACATATTTTTGGCTGCTCTACCACTAACACCAATAGTAAAGGCGCGATATCATATTAATCCTTACCCGCTTAAACTTCTTTAAACTCACACAAATGAAAAATTGTCACAATAAATTGACGCTAAAAATTGAATGTGTCATCTGAGCCTAAACTTTGCTTATAATTCCCAACTGCTTTTTTGAAAAACACCAACATAATACAAAATTTGAATTGAAAAGTTCTTATATGACAAATAAATTTAGGCCTTCAATAAGATTTTATCAAAAGTTTAGGGTAACATTTTGACCGAACAGACCACTAGTTTTTCCGAGTGCGTAATTTTTTTTTTGCCGGGTCAATGCTTTGTGCATTTGAAATACGCCGGCAATTACGGGGCAACTTTGCCATATTACAACTGCTGAATTATTAGTGAGCTGCTTTTTTCAGCTCATTAGCGTCGCATCTAGTCGGAAAAGTGTTTGGAGGAGCCGCAGAGGAGAAGGGGGTACTAAATTATGCGCAGTGCAATCAAGTTGAGTGCGTACTACAGTCTAAATAAGTAGTAGTTGTTTATTCATAAAAGCATTGCGCCGAGAAATTGTCAGCCTTTGGGCTTTGACAACACGAAAAAGAGCTTAAAGGAAAACGCAAAGCGGTAAAAGAAGGGGCTAAAAAGCACAGCGAGGGAGGGGGAGGGAAGCACAAAAGTGCAGTTGAAACCACATCAACAAACGAATACAGTGGACTCTCAAAAATGTCAACTCTCGTTTAAAGACACTGTTTAAGAAGTTAGGATTTAATGACTATTTTTTTGTATTTTTTTTACTACTTTTTTTTGTACGTTTCATGTTTTTTAATTTGTCAAGTTTTTATTATGAATTGGTAATGATTAAAATAGATTAAAAAAAAATGTATCCAAACCAGAAAAGCAATACAATAATATAGATTATTTAGCATTCTTTTTACTTCCAAAAATGTAAAACCATAATGTTTTAACTTATTTACTAAAAATGTCTTGTAAATTAGTTAACATTTAAAATGACAACCTTTTCTATACATAAGCTTTATTGAGGGAAACCTGTAAACGAAAGGCTTTGAGCGGAAAGGAGGGGAAAGATATCGCAGCCGTATTCCTTTTACAAGCTCTCTATCCCTGTGGTTTTACACTCAAACCTCTCGCAACTCTTCAAATTAATCGAACTGCCATCAAATGCTTGTCAATTCCTTTGGCAAACGCGACGCCTTTTGTTCGAAATGAAAGTACAGAACTTACCATTTTTGTACTGCCAACTGTTTGAGATGCCAAAGCAAATCAGTAGAAAGCCGATCAGCAGATGTCGCCATCCCACTCCCCGGTTAAATGTCGCGCATTTCGACGCTTTCGTTGTCACATCTTCATTATTTGCTATAACTTGGCACAATTGAGGTTCGATTTCAGCAGACTTTATGTATGGCTCGAGGGCCATCTTATTTTGGAAGCACAATCTCCGGAATTTTAAGACATTTGGCGCAAAAAAATAACAGATGACGCGACCCGATCGTTTGTCTTTTGTTAGGCGCACATAGTAATCACACGGAAAAACTGTGGAAAAAAGATGGAAGTTTGAAAACAGGTCGTTAGAGAATCATTTGTTTGTTTGGGGATTAAGACCTTCGTAATTGGAGAGTTATGTATTTCAGGTTCGAAAGTTTACTCTTAGCTGATTAATGTTTTTAAAATTTAAATGAATAGAAACAGAGTTTCAAATGGGTACGTTTTAAATAAGTATATTTTTTCATAAGTGAAATTTTTGTAAATATGTTACTAATGATTTAATGCGTACTTGTAATAATTTAATGTATTTTTTTGAAAATTTAGTAAAATTTAAAAGAATATTTGTAAAAGTGGTGCAAATGAATAATATATTGATTTTAAGTATGGAATTTCTATTTTTAAACAATTGGGAAATATTTACACCTTTCCGTTCGAATGTTTTAATTTTTTTTAATCTGATTTTTAATTCATTTAGTGTACTCTAAGCACTAATACATTTTTCTCTCGGAATTTGTGCATTAATTTATAGCTTTTAATATAATTTTAGATTTTTATTATCGTATTTCCAGTTCTTGGTGCGTTTTTTTTTTTTGTTGGGCAGTGTTAGCATTCTGTTGTTATTATCGTATTTTAATTTAATTTCCCGTTTCTTTTGTTGATCAGTGTGATCGCCCTGTTTGCGTGAGCTTTGCCTGTGTGCGTGCTACAAATTGTTGTTGTCGTTAAGTAGCGAGTGATAAGCAATTGTGCAACTGTGTGGGGCTGACCCCCCGCACCCTGCTCCACCCACCTGGTTGCTAAATTGAAATAGTGTAAGTGATAAGGCGACTTGGTAATTGGGGGGAAACCTTTTGTCGCTTCTGCGGCGCAACAAGCCGGCGATTGACGGTGTGTGTGCAACCCCCAAAAAGGCGCTGCTGCACTTTCCAGTGGAAAATTTCACGACGACAACCAAAACAAACGCCGTTTGCCGCTGGAAAATGCAGCAAAGAAGCAACAGAGAGTGAGGGAGACGAAAACGCACACACACACACATACGCGCGGAGAGAAAACAGAACGTCTTTCAAGCAGGCCGTAAATTTAGATGCCCCGAAGCCTCTTGTTTTGTTTTTAGAACCATTTGATACACATTTACACAACAACAACAACAACAGCAGCAGTAGCAGCAGCTCGCACGCTGCACAACAAACCCGAAAAACACGCCAAATTCCGAGTAATTAACGTTTAAGGCACGATAAAAGTGTATTAATCAAGCTCATTTGGCCGCATTTTGTTGATTAGCTCACGCAATTCGACCGAGCGTAGCCATTTTGTGGTTACTTTGTTTTGTAAATATTTGATTTACTTTTCACTGAGTTTTCCGTTCGCCGTGTTGCCGTGTTTTTCGTCTCGCTCTTTCGAACAGTGTGACCGAACTGGGGCGACGTCGCGTGCCGTTGGTGTGGCTGCCTCAAATGCACTAAAATATAACAAAAGTAGTGTGCCGAATATACCAAAAATATACTAGGGGCCAATTTAAAATGGGAGGTTTGAAACATAGCTATTAGTCTGCATTACTATTGGTAGTGTTTTCTCCCTAAAAACATTTTGTTTCTACAATATCATTGTGTAAATTGTAAGAAGGACGCTTAAGGCTAGAAAATTAAGAATTTAATACTCCGAATATTCCACAATTAAACCAATTGAGAGTAATATCAATAAAGTACCAGCGAATACACATTCCACAATTCAAAACTTAGCCCGTACCCAAACCTGTTTGTTAGAGCGGGAGAACACTGGAAAAAATATTGGTCTTCCATACATTTTTAAAAATGATTTGCTTAATTAATTTGCAAGTCTTTCATTGTATGCTAAAATCCATTAAAAATTGTTTATTTTTAATATCCATAATAGCATTTGATTATTAATCATTGTTATAGCTAATTTTTATTTTACTTTTTTTTTTTAATATTGTTATAATGAAATATTGTTCAAATATTGTTGTAATGTCAGATTGAAAAATAGTTTTATTGTATAAATATTTTCATCTTTTACAAATTAAATTGAAATGCTGCAACTTTAATTAATTCGTAGAAAAATATGACTTGATTTTGTAGATATCTAAAACTGTATATTTGTGTAACGTGCAACATTAATTTAAAAACTCCTAACGTACATCTAGAGCGAAGCATTTACAAATGCTAGGTGTGGTTGTCCATGAACTGAAGCTCCGACCACAGCAGCAGGGCATTTGGGGGAAGAGGTCGCGGCTGCGGGGAGAGCAACATCACGGCCTGCCTTTCCATATCCACTTCGGTTCTGGAGATTGGAATATGAATTAATAATAATATACCCAATCAATTTAGAGAATCCATCACTTACACACAACAGAAGCCGGCCACGTTGGTGCCAATCACCTCATCCTCCACGGACTCGGCAAAGCTGAGGGCCAGCACGTGATGGATGAGGGCGGGTGTGGGCGTGACGGCCACCACCTTGGTCTTGTTGTCCTCCGCCTTCATGCCAATTGGCATGCAGGAGTCGGGCAGCGGCGGCGCCCCGATCTTGTACAGTCGCAGATCCTGGAACTTCACCTCGAAGCTGAACGGGTAGAAGGGTGCCCTTGAATTGCCGTAAAAGTACTCCTTGATGCGTTGATCCCTCGCCTCGTGGCGCAGCTCCTTACTGCGCTCCACGACACCGCCACTCTTGGGCAGCAGCACCACATTGACGCCCTTGGGCACATCGCGCAGTAGCTCGTTGTACAGGCGCTCCTGGTCCAGAACGAAGATGGCACAGGCCCCATACGCCTGGGCAGCGTGCAACAAATGCGCATAGCCGGAGCCCTTTACCCAGCCGCAGGTGTTTACTATAATGCCAGAGCTTTTGGCTGGAAAAGATAGATGATATGGGTAAAGTAATTGTAACAGAACGGCAACTTACTCCTCTTATTGCTGTTTAGGGACTGCAGCGTGACCTCGGCCATCTTGGAGACGACGGCGTTGTACAGCACACTGTTTCCGCTGGGCGACTTGTGGCCAAAGTGGTAGACCAGCGGCGCCGTCTTGACGAATCCCTCCTCGACGCTGGCCGGCCGCTCGATGAGAATGGTGGCCACGCTGCCGGAAATGGCAATGGAGCCCTGGCCAACGTCCAAGTCGGCGTACAGAGGCCGCCGACCAACGCGCACTGCGTAATTGAGCAGAATCCGGCAGAGCGTGCTCTTGCCCACGTCCATGGGGCCGACAACCATGGCCACTGGGCCGCGGCGGTCCTTCTCCTCGGCCTCCGTGCGGAATTGCTCGAGGGCCGCGTGGCAGTTGACGTACTGCACCATCGGCGTCTCCTTGGAGATGTAGCACACGTCCATTTTGCCGGAGACGTGCAGCACACAGCCCTGATATGTGAAGATGGCCACCTTGGCGCCCATGCCGAACTCGTATTGCTTTTTCTTCACCAGCTCTGTGCCGAACATCTCCGCAAAGCCATTGACGAGCTGGAATGAGGGGTTTATGAGAATAAGGAAATATTCTATCAAGGTTCGCGAAGATGGATTCACTTACGGACACCAGAACTTTGGCTTCCTTCTGCTCGATTTCAAAGCGCAGCTCGGAGTCGGCCTCCAGTGTGTAGTCCTTGCCGTGATTTTCCGCCATGGCTGAGTCTTGTGTTCTCTGAGATCTTCTTTATGGTAATCGTGTAATAAAGCAAATATTCGAATTTCGCAAAAGGTAAATGGTAAACAATACAATTTCGCAACAGCTGGGTAGAGGTGGGTTTTGATCGATATCAATAATTAATCGATGACTGTTCAGGCAGAGAACGATTCTGCAACAGCGATGATGTTCCGCAACAGTGAATTTTCTTGCGTAATAACTACATGAGCTAAAAAGATGCAGGAAAAAGTTGTTACAGCGCGCTGCATTTATATATTATTCTAATTCAAAATTTTGTTTCAAATCGTCAGCTTTAATTTTACGGACAGTTATTGCAAGAAACAAAAAGAGCAAGTAAAATGAGCATGTAAAATAAGGATGTAAAAAAATGAGCAAGTAAAATAAGCATGTAAGAAAGTGAGCTAGTAAAATGAGCATGTAACAAAATGAGCATGTAACAAAATGAGCAAGTAAAATAAGCATGTAACAAAATGAGCATGTAACGAAATAAGCAAGTAAAATGAGCTTTTAACAAAATAAGCAAGTAAAATGAGCGTGTAACAAAATGAGCAATGAAAATAAGAATGTAACAAAATGAGCAAGTAAAATGAGCATTTAACAAAATAAGCTAGTAAAATAAGCATGTAAAATCACGACCCTTTACCTCGATAAGAGGTGTTTATATTTTAGACGCCAAAATTGTAACATTTCAAGTAGAATATTAACTTGTTCCAGAACAAATTTAAATTTCTAGTTTACTTTTATTGAATTTAATTAATTTAATTTCATTGTCAGTGGGCCGGTTTTTATATTTTATGCTGTTAAAATTTTTACATTTTATTAACAGTTTTTGGACATTTATTCGATTTTTTTTGCTCATTTTTTTTTTATTTTATTGATATAATGTACATATATATTATGGAAAGGATCTTCCTTTCGTCTTTTATCTAAAGAGAGCCAGGAGAAGAAGACCCCTCGGACTTCAACTGACTAGCACCACTTGTTCTAGCCACTTGATTCTCGGCCGGCAACTGGGCCATGGCCACCTGTTGCTGTTCTTCATTGAGCTTGGGTCTGTATCTCAAATCGATGGTGTTTGTCTTACAGATCTGGGCAAAGACTCGCGCTGAAATCTTGGGGGTTCTTGTGCGTTTCGGGGAATTGAAGTCCACATGATAGAGGCCAAACTTCTCCGTGAAGCCAACCTTCCACTCATAGCTGTCCATCAGAGACCAGGCGATATAGCCAGTGATATTTACACCATCCTCGATGGCATCCAGCACCGCTGAGAGATAGAGGTTATAGTAATCCACACGAGCGTAATCCTCCAGACCACCACGATCACTGACGCCATTCTCCGTTACCAATATCTCGGGTGCATTGTACTCTCGGTTTATCCACATCAACAGATTGTACATTCCCTTGG